TAGGTTACTCTGACGTGTCTAGGCCGATGATATTTAAACACTTTGTTGCAATTTAATTAAGGGAATGGGCTAGTCATTTATTTATCCCATTGTTTAAGTTGCGTCATAAAACCACCAAAGAGTATTAAGATCAGCTGTGGTGGACATTGGCAAACAAATTCCAAGCAAACAGTATGTTGCAGAATATTTTGACTAAATATCAGCATGTTTACATAACTACAGTTAACACAATGAAAACAAACACTCAAAATGCTGGAGACCACACGCTAAAATGTTCACAAGATTTTAAGTAAATTTTGACATATTGTGCACCAATGAGAGTAATTTGCATTGGTTGATACAAAGACTTAAATTGAATCCTATTTTTTTGTAGCAAAACATTCCTCATTTGAAAAACAACACAAACATAGCATAGTTTCTTGTTTTTAAGTACGTGCATACATTGGAAAATGTCTGTGTGGGAAATAACTTAAATGCTCTTGTGCTGCCCTAAGCAAATCGTATCAACTTTAGTTAAATTTAATAAATGATGATAAATTGATATTCTGTTCCTTGTTAGCAAAAGTCATTTAAATTTATAATTTTACATCTCAAAACAAGATGGGAAAAAAAATCATTGTAGCAAAATTATTAATATTATTTGATATATAGACCCCAGCTACTGTGTTACATCAAAGAAAATAAAAAAATAATCTTGTCTCCTTCCTCTATATTTTTTTTTCAACTGTTCCTCCTATTTTTATACAGCTTTCTCAAGCCAAAAACCTAATATACAACTCTGTGTGTTGTGGTTATCATGTGTTTATCCTCATTTTTGTTACCAAAACCCTAGCATTTATTTGGCTACACATATTTTGTATTTGGAAGTAAATTTCAACAACTGCATTTTCTTCAGGAGCCAATGAAATACTCCTATATATTGTAGCAGTAGATTAATATTTATCATAGCAATGATCTTGCTTCAAGCTATAGACTGCCATTGTATCAAAGTATTTACCATTCATCTTATAAATGCTCCGTTGCTTTTAACACATGGCCATTTTGATAATAATTTCATAACACTATCAACACACACATATCCGATTATGGCATTCTATTTTCATAGCTGTATAGTATTACTAGTAATAATGAATGATGCTCAAGTCACAAAATTGAATTTATTTTCAGTGTTTGCCTATTTGATTGTAATTTGCGGCATATGCCAACCTACCTTTTAGCAGTAGTTGAATTTAGCGTTAGCATTTGAATTGAACTCATTTAGACGGTAATTAACATCACAGTGTTTTTAAATGACCACTTTTACTGTGAATGTCCTCGTAGACAACTAACACAAGAAATCAAACCATTTTTTTGGATAATTTCTATGAATTAAAATTCATTTTACCACCATGCTAATTAATGAGCTATTTTCTTGATTTTTTTTTAGATCAAATTTATATTTATTTATTTATATTTTTATTTTTGTATTACTCCTAAAACCCAACATAAAATAAACTTAAATAAACTACCTATTTAGTTTTATTCCTGTGTTGTTCTAAGATTGGTTTCTCACCATTGTTATGAGATTCAAATACTATTTTATTGATTGTCTTTTCATTAAATATTGTGTGCTATCATAAATGATTCTACTTCAATAGCAGCTAATGTGCCGATAATTACTGCATGTCTCAAGTTACATCAACAGCGCCACCGTAAAAGTCAGTTTGAAAGAGCAGTCATATTTGATTTCGAGTTAATGAGGACATTCCTTCAACACTACCATCTTATATAATAACTAGACAAGACTATTGTTATTTTATTGCCAGGTGCAAAACTTTGTTTTAAAATATCAACTACAAACAATGAACAGTTAAATTTGTATGTTCACTCTTTACAACATTTTGTTTAGCTATTTGATTAACCAGTACACTTAACTGGTAAAAAGGCAAGGGATTTGTGATTCCTTTTGTTTTTAACTTCTAGACCACCCAAAAACAAGTAGCTGTACTTTCTAGTTTCATGAAATCTGCATCCTCAATGCTAAAATGGAGGCTTAGCAAACTGGAGAATACACTTTACAGAACATTTTAAGTAAAAAAGTACACAGCTAGAAGAAAGCCTTTGTGTAAATGAGCCTGAAGGCTTAAGACCATTTACACCCTATTCAATAGAAGTGTGAATGCAACAGGTTGCAGAATTACCTGCTGTTATTAACAGATCTGAGTATTCATATATAAAGTCAACATCATTTCCATAATACTGAAAGGTATCTTGATAGGCAGAATTCCACATAGTAGTACTGTAGTTGAAGGAATTTGTAGTTGTTTAAGGGATAGAACTGCTTGTATTTTTTTATATATATCTGTCATTGTATAATAAGAGTTTTAGTTTTCTTTTGTTTACTGATGAGAAGAGTTTTGATTAATATACATTGATTTTGTTATGATTATCAAAAGAAAATATTATGATTAAAATCGTCTTTGTTACAAACCATAGTTAAATGTAATTCTGCGATTTATCATATGTTTATTTCTGTATGTGAGAAAGCGAAAGAGTTTTTCTTGAAATATAATTAAGAATTTGTCTGGAGCAGTTTGATGAACCTGTTGCTAACTATAGATGATGAGGCAGATTATTTGCTAGAGGAAATTAATCATTTCAGTTAGACCCATCAGGTTCAAGGTCTCTGCGCATCCTCATCCCCAGAGATGTGTACTAAATTTGAAATATCACTTGACAGTTGAGGGCAGCAGATACCAAGTGCTATTTATAGAACACTAATATTTCTAACATAGTGAAGATTTCATTGTTTATGGTGTCAGTGTTTTTGCTGTCTCAGTGTTCAGGAAACTTCAGCAAATATTTAATTCTCTCTATTAAAAATCAAGAAAAGGTAACAAAATGATCATATGAATTTGTTTTATTTTGTAATTCTTTTTTAATCCTTGTCGTGAAAGTAGTTTATTGTGTGAGGATAAATGCTGTTACTCTGTTGACTTAAAATATTTTGGGATGCTGGTGTTAATGGCTAAGTAAACGATTTGTTTCCTTCACTGAGATTTATGCACACAGTGGCTTGAACAATAGACTTCTAAAAGTGTAACTATTTCCATACTGTCCTCAAAAGTTAGTTTAATCTTGTTATTGACGGTGTACTCTTAGATGCTGTTGAAATTGAAAGAAAAACAAATTAATAACAGAAACTTCAATTAATAACATCTTATTAAACATTAATGTTCATGCTATATTGTTTATCATGTGGTACGGCTGTTAATGTTAATCCTTTGTTCATTGTTACCGAATGCAAGAGTACCTTGTGATGTGGCTAAGCAAACATCTAATCATGTTAAGGATCTTATTTTCTTGGTGCAACTTCAAATACACTGTACTCTCCTTTGTTTCTGGTGAAGCCATAAAGATTGAGGATTACTGGACATAGTGTGACAGTTGTTATCAACCAGTGACATAACAGCATTCAGGATATTGTTGTTGTGTAAAATGTGATTCAACACATTTTTTCCAGATCAACATTTGTAAAGAGCAGCCACAGAATATATATGGAGTGATTAAATTAAAATTTTCACAGATAGCATGGATGGAAAGGACATTTTTTTTTTCTTAATGGCTAGATAAAAGTATTGGCATTTCTTTAGAAGTTTCAAATCACAGCCAGATGTTAGTAGACTTGTTGGTCCAGACAACATTGAAGTTTGCATTCCTTGGCCACAGCTAAAATAACAGATGTGTCCTCGTGGCTCAAAATCTCTTCTCGGCGATACCGATCTTCTTACGACATCCTGGCTACCCTGTTTTGATATCTATTACCTCGTTACTATTAATGCGGAAATTTTATGTAGATCATCACCTTAGCTGGTTTACAGGGGAACTATCTTTGTAGCTCAGTTATTAATTGGGATAAACCATTATTTTCATGGCACCATAAATTTACTCACTCCACAAAAGTCTCAACATTATAATTATTTGTCACTGTTTGAGGTTTAGTATTATTGACTTGTTTTGTATTGTTACATAATAATATCAATATTTCATACAATTTTATTTCTAAAAAGAATATTTTAATTACAATGTTATAGTTACAGAAATAGTTTCCATCCCACTTTTGTAGATATGTTATAAATTTATAAGTAAAAGAACCAAGAATATGTGTTTATAGGGATACAGTAAAATATTATGGTTCAGTCGTGAAGCGGAGAAAATTGATAATGTATAGGGTTTTGACACATTGCTATAGGTGTGAGTGTTGATGGGTGGCTCACGAAACAGCAATTGTTATGAAGTTGAAATTCTTGGGCCGGAGGTTACCTGACATGTTAATAATCATATTTAAAAGGAAGCGATTTATTTAATTTATGTAATTATCCAAATAATGGCTACATATCAATTGATTATTGTAGCAACGTATGTGGTAGATTTAGGTAAACATGGTGTCATAGTTATCCGTCGGAATTAAAATCCCAATTGTGCATCCAATTGTTCTGATTGGCTAGTTAGGTAATTTTAAAGAATGTGCTTTCTGATTGGTCTAACTGTCTCCAAACCAACTGTTCGTTTTGCACCTGGATTTTTGCGGGAGTATATCAAGTTTAAGGCAGCCGTATGTGAAATGCTTCCCTCCTGCTGTATCATGCCTTCAGTGTATTTGTGACACAGTCCATATGGTCTAGTTAGCAAACCTTTTCATATCCAAAGCCTTATCTACGTCTCCTTCAGGACAGGTGTTAAGTTCTAACATTCCCTGTGGATTCTTTGATATCATTTTTGTTTCTTTTTCATGATCTAGAAAAATTTATGTTTTTCTTTCTTGCCTACACAATAATTTATATTTTTAATGACCATCATGAAATCTATGATGATAACTACTAAAAAGAAAACTATCTATGGTACATGATATAAATGCCTCCTATTTTATACAAAGCTACAGATTCGTTCAAATATGTAAGTCTAAAGCAATGTACTAATACTATAGACTTATAAATGTTGTTTTCATTTTTCTCTTGCAGATTTTTACCAAATGGCATTAGTATAGAAGCAGAAATAAACGACGTCGTTGACATCCTTTGCCCAAAAACAGTAAACACCACAGAAGGTCGTACAAAAGCAGAATATCATACATTTACCCAAGTTCCATATGAAAGCTACAAAACTTGCAATTTAACATATGCTAATAAGACAGACAAGACACTTTTGCGATGCAATAGGCCCTTTGTTGAAAATAAGTACACATTATTGTTCCAAGCATGGACACCGTACCCACGTGGATCTACATTCGAGGCAGGAAAAGATTATTATTATATTAGTAAGTATTATGTTCATTATTTTTGCTGCTCTAAGAACATTTGTGAAAATGTCAAGAACAGTAAACAGAATCATCTTAAAAATAGTACTGGCTGTCTTGAAAATATTGCCAGGGCCTCCTGTAAGCACTTTTAATGTATGAATATGTATAATATGAATTTGTATATATACAATAATATGAATATGTATTATATACTATAAAGTACACAATGACAAGGTCTCTATGTGTGCCATATTATTAACTCTGCCATTCAATCAAAAGCTCATGAAACAGAAACTCAGTACCTTCGGGATATTTAACCAATGTTTCAAAATTGTTGGGTTGTTATAATCATAGTTTATATGGAAGTTATTATTCAACTCTGCCATGTTAATGTTTATTGTGTATCTTGAATAAATGCCCATCTGGCCTGGTGATAAAATACCTTTGAAATTATTGGAAATATGAATATGTTGATTACAATAAAAACAATTGAAAAATTACTTTATGCAAAAATAAACATTAGAGAATATATGAATATGTCTGTTTATTGCAATAAATAATTAAAAAAATTAATTTATGCAAAACTTTAACAATTAAATTTTTATATAATTGTTATATCCCACTAACAATAGAATTTAATTTTCTCCCTGTTATTTACAGCAACTTCAACTGGTACCGAGGAAGGAATAGAGTCACGTGCAGGTGGTTTATGCAATTCACATAATATGAGACTCAAGGTGCATATAAAAGCCACAGGTAAGAATGATAATGTAGATTTATATCTGATTAATATTCAATACTCATTATAGTGTATTAGATTATACACTGATGCATAAGTGATTCTGATAATATCATCCTTTTTGTTATGATAAAATAGTTGCTCAAAGATTACAGTGGTAAAATATGGTAAAACTGAAAGATTTTTTCCCTGATTTGCAACTTGCATGCGTGTTGTCTGAGATTGTTTAAGATGTAATTGTAGAGCAAGGAGTATATTTTCTTGTTTTATTATTTTATGTTTTTTGGACAGATGAAATCCTTTAGTGATAGGAACTTGTTACTCCTTCATCTGACCCTCCTCCTCTGTATGTATGGTGCACTTGGTTGGAGGAAATAAATATATTATTATTTAAAAATTAATTAAATATAATGTCAACACAGAATGTATATTTTTATACCTGAAATTGTATTAAAGTGATCAGTTCTAGTACATTATTAATTTTGAGTTTTTTAGCTGAAGAAATTTTGTTTTGGTGTATTCAAACATTTACTAATGAGACTTTTGTTCATACTATTCTAGAGCCAGTTGGACCAACCCTACAACCACCACAGTCACAGCCACAGCCACGTTCCACAACTCCAATAGTTCACACAACAACCAGAACAGCAATTGAAACATCAAAACCAGTCACAGGTATGTAAAAAATGAAACTAGTTTAACTGAAAACAAAATTATTTTTCTAGTACTGAAATTGATATGGTGCATAATAATCTTTTTTATAATTCTATTTTCAATATGTGAAGCGGAATAGACCAATAGAACATTGTAAACAAATTTTAATTTGATTACAAACAACTTATGTGTGTTCCATTGAAATTATTATGTTTTACAATAAGCAGTGGCAGATCCAGGGGGTTTAGACGAACCCCCCTCTGTGAAGAAACGTAACAAAATACTACTAGGTCCTGGATTACAAAAAGCATGCTAACCTACCTAGGTAAATGTTAGCAGATCAGACAAACTAGGCTTACCCCAACTTGTCTTCAATTAAATAAATTATACACATTGTTTGTGGTTCGACATAGTAATAATTTATGTACGAAAGTGCGTTCTTCAGGCCTATCGGTTCATCGATCCATGGAAGAAAAACTAAATATCTAACTACTCAATATTGATGGAATATAATAATATATTGCCTATGATTTTTTTTTGTTTTTGTCTATGTATAGGCCTAAAGAATAAGTTAAAATTACCTGATCTTTTTCAAGAGGGGAAAACCTGGAATTTTGAAGAACTTAAAGGTCATTAAAAGACTCCTCAAAAGTCAGGAAAGCTCATTTCCAGCCATCGAGGAGTCAAAATTTTCCCCTCTCACATTTTTGAGGTTTTTTGAAAACATTTAAAACCCTCCATTTTCAAATCATAGATCCGCCCGTGATAAATATCTGAATTCAATATTGAATGGTGGAGAATTGACTTTGTGTCAACTTCTTTGTCATAGATTGGCTGCTAATATGTTGCTTGTGTGGAATAGACCTTTCAGCTAAGCCACGCCCTTTGGATATTGTTGCTAAGGTCCTGCAAAACAGTAGTGTTAAAACATACGCAAACATATGCATTTATGGGGCATTTATTCTTGACCCTGTTCTGATTGGTCGGTTGTTAACTTTGATTGACACCCCACAAAGGTTCATTGAGTTTAGTTCCTTCCTATAATTCATGATTTGTATTTTTTCAATATTTGTTATGTTTTTATTATATTCATTTATTTCAGAAGAAGTAAGACCTTCAAAAAAATTGGAATCAGCCAATCCTAAAGACATGCTAAGGGGCTCGGCCAACATGTGTCAAGTGTCATCGTTGCTCCTCCTCGTGTCGTGTCTGATGGCCCGGGTCAGATGGCACTAGTCTTGCCATCACAACCAGATTTTTTTTGTAAAAAGATTGTAAATTCCTGTAAAATTATACTTGGTGGAGACATATTTTGTAAGAAAAGTGCAAGAACTATGGGAAATGTTGTCTTAAAGCTTTGATAACAATTTTTCTTTTCATATTTAGCACCAAATAAGATGTAGTCCCAAATTTTGAATTTTATTACTCAACATATTAAGCACTTTTCTTGCAAAACATGCCACAATATAGAGATATATCTTTTTTGTATGAAAAAAAAATAAATGTATTAACTGCAAATATTGTCTGTATGTTGATGTTTGAGAGAAAATGAAGGAGACAAAGTGAGTGATCTTTTGTACTTTTGTAAGTGTCATATTATCCCATTGCCTTTTAAAATCTCAAGCATTTTAAAGTGAGGTGCGTACCGAAGGTTTTTAGTAATAATGTGGCACGTTATGCTTTGTAGATGGGTGATTTTATTATATATTGTAATGTTTTTTATTTTATTTTATTTTTTTGGTTTTTTTTTTTTTTGGTTTCTATTTTTAAATTGAAAATATGTATGTTTATAATGCTGCTTTAATGAATGTTATGCTGTTGATAATAGCACTGCGGTTTGTTCGCATCCAAAGAAAAACAGAGTGGTTTATATCAAGCAAGCTTAGCAGTCAGATATTACATGTAAAGCAACCATACCTGTAGTTGTTCAGATTATTGGGCGAGACTTTTTTTATACCTTGTTTTGCCAACTAGATCGTCAGAGGAGGGTGGGGAAAAAAATTAAAATATAATTGTGTTTTCTTATTTAGGAAATGGTTTTGCCGAAAACATCCAGACAGGAGAAAATAAAAATAGAATTTTGTTGGTGAATGTGAACAGTGTAGTGGTTAGATGCTTTAAATTTATGTAATTATGAAGAAATATACATAGGCCTATCTTATTTTTGGAGATTGCAAGGCAGTGGCAGGTGTAATAAAAATAAAGAAAACTTATTTTTTTCTGAAATTTCTATTTTTTGTGGCAGTGGGTGCGCTAATTGGCCAAAAATAAAATGTATTTATTCGTAACCATCATTATTGGCAGGAGGCAGATTCGCTAAACAAGGTATTAAAAAAAGTCTCGCCTGATTACTGTAGTTAGATAGAAATAAGGATTTTACATCCTTTTGTTTTTTTAACCACCCACGTTAAAATTATAATTTGGTTTTGTTCATTTGTGTACATCGTAGCATCATTGAAATTAGGGTCAATGCAAGTTCACAGTCAGAAAATATTCATGAAAAAAATAATTACAGATTTTGAATAAGGATTCATAATGGGATAGATATGTAGTCATATTCAGAAATTATTATTATTATACAAAAATATTATTGGGACATAAACACAAGACACTTTTCTTTCAATATATATAGCATTTTGTTGTTAATTTGGTGCACAATTGTTAAATTTAAGAAGATGTAAATTTATTCATAATTTATTTAATGTTTGTACATATTGGCTTCGGAAGCATTCTACTAATAAATATTACTGTGTAAGAATGATAAAGTTTGTTTTCAACCATTTTATGTAATGATTTTAATATTTGTATAAAATAACATATGTTTATTCAGTAACAGATGTGTTATTGGATAGAGCTCAATCAGAAAAGAATATTTAGCAATTTATATTTTTCTGAGTTGATCCTAATAATTAGAAGCACACTTTGACTTATTCTTTTGAGATGATCCCAAAAATGAGAGGAAAAAATATGAGATTCTTTTTTCACCATTAATAGAACAAAACATTATAAATAGAAAGGTACCTTCATTTATATACAGCTTGCTCTGGAACAAATATTAGAAATCAAACATTAAAGAAGTTTAATGGTTTTATTCAATGTTACAGAATTCTGCCCACACTATCAATCAAACTTTGTGTGACAAACACTGTGATTTACCCATATATGGGTATGATATGACATCATGCCCATTTATGGGTATGATATGACATCACAATTTCCATATATGCATATGACATGAGATCATCATACCCATATATGGATATGATATGATATAATATGACATCACCATGCCCATATATAGGTCTGATATGAGATCATCATACCATGATATGATATGACATCACCATGCCCATATATGGGTATGATATAACATCATCATGTCCATATATGGATGTGACATGACATCATCATGTCCATATATGGATGTGACATGACATCATCATGTCTATATATGTGCAATTCATACAAATGTGTCGCATAAAATTGGATAGTGTGGACAAAGCTTTAGTTTGACAGACTTCTGATGTTTCAACTTCAAAATGTTGCGTGGTCAAATTGTTGGCAGTTCAATGGTCTGTATTTTGATTATAAAAGAAAATACTTTAGAAATAAAATTAACTTTGGTCATATTCTTTTTAAAGATTGAATATCTTGATAGGTTATGCTATAGAAATTATAATGAATTCAAGTTCAGTTGTTGGGCTACTGTATACTCATCAAAACATAGAAAGCTGTTTTCTGATCTGAAAGTGACTTATGAAATTACTAATAGAAAGTAAAATTTTATTTTTACACTGATAAAATAATGATGAAATTTTGACATTTTAATCATCTTTTCACAAACTATTTTATTAAAGATATTTGGTTTTATATTTATTAATTGAAAATATCAAGTTTCGTCTTGAATTTATGCTTATGTTTTAATTTTGTTATCTCCCTATATGTTACCTGTATATTGTTGTTAGCATTTATTTTGATTGTTTATGAATCTAGTAGTAGTTTATATTGTACAATAATTCACAACAAATTTACAGCACTTGTAACTTTTCAGTTATATATTCACAACCTAATATTTGTTATTATTGTTTACTATATACACTGACTAAATCGAAGAATAGAAACCTTTACCAAACTTCAAAATCGTCCAAGCAGCAGACTAATTTTTTTTTTATGTATTTCAGAACTAAAAACCTATTTTCAGCAAATAGATTGTGATATAAATTTCATTACTGATGAAAATTTTCAAAGCTTTCTGGACATATAGGTGATTGTTAGCATTGTCAAACATGTCTTTTATACATAGAGAATAACCATATTTGAAAGCTAACGTTTTTGTAACTTTCTAAAAATATATGTTGGTTAAAAAGGACAAAGAAGTTGTAATTAATATCATGTTGTTGAAACCTTTCAAATTGAGTTGTAATGAATTTTCTTATATAATCAACTAATATTTGTTTAAACTCTCAACAAATGTTAAATATGGCTCTGAGAAATTACAACAAATTGTGGTTGAAGAAAGTACTGATTATCAAAAATAAAAAATAAACAACTTTTTATGATAATTATGTTTCATAGTTTTATTTGTACAAGTCTTGTGTGCTAGAATTTTAGAAATGGTGATACTCTTGAAGGCAAAAAGCACTATTAGAGTTTGGTCGGTCACAGTGGCGTACCTAGGGAGTGCACCACCTAGTCACCCCCACTGAAGATATTTGAAGTAAAGAAATCATGCTCAAGTAGTTAAAAATTATTCAAATTAACTTTTTTTTTAGAGCTGGCTACCCCCTCACCTTATCGACTTCACCTTTACACCCCACCCCCATGTTAAGACGCCTAGATACCCCACTGGTCGGTCTCCGTTGACAGCCCATGTTTAATCGGATATTTCTGGTTATTCTTTATTCCAGATGCATCTGTTGAAACAATCTTGCATTTTTAACTTCTATTCAAAGTTTGAAAATACCCTAAATATTGTTTGATCAAACGTTAATTTTGACAGTAAAAACTTGCTAATGTATACCATTTCTCTAAGCGTATACTGTATCCTTTTTACAGTATGTTTTTTTTAATACGAAAATAACAATAACCTATCCACAACGCTCGCGAAGTGTTTGTGTTTGCTGGGACATCACTTCTAGTGCATGTATGTATAGTATAGGGGATTTGTTCAGAAATAGAGACAACTTGAGATATGAAAGAGACTACCACCCATATGCCAAATTGAATACTGTATTTCGCAAATGTAGGACTAATTTACAACACCTCGATAATGCATCATTGAAGTGTAACACGGTAACAGGCGCGCATATTACACGGATCATTGGGAAAGAGGAAAAAGTTGGGCGTCAGCGCTTTACACGAGACTGAAGGCTCCGTGGTTATAGTCATGAGACCCAGCACTCAAGTCGTTAAGATTCGGTATTGGCACATTGCAGCTTTACATACATCCCACAGACGACACGTCCTTAGTTCTTGTACTGTACATAAATATTTATTACCAATACCATTTTGTTGTGCTGTATAGTGTACTGTAATATCATTTAATGCATGCGTATTTCATTCACCATCTCCATCTCACAAAAAAAGAAGGAAATGTAATGAAATTGAAAAAAGTTTGTGCGAGATATGAATAGATGAATCATTTGCATCCTCGTTCGGCATCACTTACGATCTTACGACTATAAAGTATAAGAACAATCTGACATAAAAAAAACAGATGATAAAGTCTGTTGACCTTTTTAATGTTGTTAAAAAAAATACTAACATTACATAGGCCTATACAAAACTATATACTGCGTCCATGTTCCACAATCACACCTTTATAGGAATATAATTATATTGCCCAGTGCGCGTACACGTTATGCTCGCCAAATGTAGAAATGTTCACATTCACATTCGCTAATCAATAATGTATAGCTTCCGAGCTGAGCCCGAAACAACAAAGACAACATTGTCGGTCTATTGTTGTATGCTATGAGTCACCATGTAGAAGCCTGGCAAATTAGATTAAAACGAGGAAAGATGCAACCAAGGAGGTGTACAATTGTTATTGGTTTAATTTGATTAATGTACACCGTCTGTGCCAGCACCTGAAAATCTTAAATACCATTAAATATGTAGTAGTGGATTATATGCAGTACTGGATTATCTCGATAACTGCGGTACCCAATTATTCCCATCCTCATTGCTAGGAGTTTGCATAAGTCGATTCATTCGAGTTGAAATTTGATTCGTAAGACGCGGATCCTCGCCAATTTACTAAACCATTACCATGTTCTCATTCTTCCGTATGCGTTCTATAACCCGAGTGTCAATTGTTAGTAAAATAATAATGGTAGGGGCCTAATGATAATGGGGTCGATGATGATAACAGTAATAATGATAATTGAAACGGTAATAATAATAATTAATATTAGTTGCAGTATTAGTAGACGCCTAGTAATAACAGCAGCAGTAGCAGTAGTAGTAGCAGTACATAATAATGATAATTTACTTATATTGCGCAGTGCCTCTGCGATTTACATCACATAAAAAGGTGTGGTGGCAAAGAGCGCTGGTCTCAAATTAGTAGAAGCAGCCAGCAGTTAGTAGCAGTGCAGCAACATCAACTGCAGCAGTGACGCTGCGCATCTTTCCTATCCGACACTATTTCTACCCCTTGTATCCTGTTATGCTCCTAGTTTTGGAGTCCTTAAGAGGTCGGCTTTACCCACCAGAACCAGAACATTGGTGGTAGTAGCAGCAGCAGTAGTAATAGTAGCACTACTACTAATATAGTATACGCAACAGCAGTAGTATCGTCATCTGATAGTATTGCAGTGTAGCAGCAGTTGCCAGTAGTATTCCTTTTAGGAATAGTTAGTAGTAGCAATAGTGATACTATTATTATCATCCTAATTGTTATTATTACTATTATTTTTCATTTAATTTAATTTATTTATTCGACTAATACACATTTACAAAAGGTGCAGTACAACAAAAATTATGGTCAGGGGCAGCTTAAGCAAAATTTTACTATAACTCATTGAGAGTCAGCTGCCCCATTAATAAATATAAACGTAAAAGGCATTTAAATACAATACAATAAATAGCAGAAATAGGCATATCATAATTTAAAAAAAAAAAAAAATTAAAAATTTTACATTTTCATATTAGGCCTATCATTATTATATTATTATTATTTACCTATTTTTCTATATTCGTCAGTCTGTTTGAGGGTGAATTAAAGTGTAAACTCATCTTTTGGTTTCATCATGGAGCTAATTGTATAGCTTCTGATCTGATAGTTATTGGCTTTGAGCGTCATAAAGAAACATCTTTTCTACGTGATTATTAGAACAATGGGATAATAATACTTCATCATCGAACATACGACTTATATCAGCTGACAACGGAAAGTAGCTCACAATCACTTGCTTAGAATACTCTGCTACAAAACAGCGTAGATCACTTTATTATTCGCGTCGCATTTACGGCGATGAAGAGAATGGGAATATTAAGTGCGGATTCGTGAAGTGCATTGCCCAAAACAAGTACTGTACATATAGGTCCACTTACAATTCTGAAAACAATAATTTAGCTACGTTAAGTTTTTTTTTTGTTATCGATGGTGATGTCATCATGGTATTTATCATATTTCATATTGTAATAATGTCTATTAATTTAATTAGGATGTGTACACGTCAATCACAAAATAGACACACACCATCGTGGGGGGGGGGGGGATTAAGCTCCTCCATCGGTCTGGCCAAGTTAGACATATAAATACATAGCCCCCCCCCCCCAGTCGGACATCTTAGTCCCTCATAAATTATATCCTAGAGCCACACGTCACAGTAGTATAATATCACATTGTTTTTACTCCACGCGCATGATGAATTCGCTATATTGTGGACATTTTTTTCGTAGTTCCTCAATGAAAAATAAGATATTCTTAACGTTTTCAAAATATAATAATTGGTGTTCGTCCGATTTCCGCCCTAATTGGAGCCTGGCTTAATAAAAACAAATAATCATAATTCACTCTTGATATGGAATTATGTATAGAGGCATGCCTTACTCTTTCTACTGATTTCAATTATAGGGCGTCGCCCAATATTAACAGTTATTTACAATTAACTTACAATTGGACAATACTATGTTATTACAGAGTTGGTTAATTCCTTTTCAGGCTTAACCAACAATACAATACAATAAAATTGATTTACAATAAACAACATGCCTTGGAAATGTTAACCCTAATTAACAATATGCATATTTGTTTTTGTTTTTATTTAAAGTTTGGATATACATATAAATTTTATATAGGCATACAGAGGCCTCACTTTATATTCATTTGTGAAATTAGCAATAGTCACATAAATTTTAATGTTTTGTGTTCAATGGTTTTAGTACTACTATTTTCCTGCTCAGTAAAAAGGTTTATTCGTATGAGGAGTTCCCCTCCGTCTCTCCGTAATTAAAACCGATAAATAACAGACGCATGATAATAATAAATATTGCCGTTTCGATAGACTTTTTTTCCCTTTTAAAAGATTTTTGTAAAAAAAAAAAAAAAAAAAAAAAAAAAAAAAATGAAAATCAGCTAAATGCCTTGTTTAGAAAGTGATATAATTTATTTATTCATTTTACAGTATACAATTAAATGTTTTAAATGAAGACTGTCAAAAAACTGACGCCGAGAAATAGACAACAGTTTTTTCTTCGCTTGGAAATACGCGTGCGTGTCACTTTGGTCAGGAAGTCGGGACGTTGGTAGCCAGCTGATTCACCCGAGGATGCAGCGATTAATGACAAGGATTGAGATTAAAAACATGGTCCTTTAGTGCATAAGCCAGTCTGCTGCCTCCCCTCTATATGGGACTTGGACACGCCGACACCATACTTTTGCATACATTTCACAGAAGATCTGCGATTTCACTAATGACTTGAATATTTTGCCTAGAGGTTGGCGCTAATACGATGGTGCAGACAATTCAGAAGGGCCATCACGTCTCATCATGACCTAATGCATAACAAGTGAATGCATAAATATTAAGAAAACAACATTTGCCTTCGAGTTAATAAACCAATAAATCTATGCATGTCTCTTGTATTAATCTATTCTAGAAGCAATCATCCGAGTCGATCCTCCTGGAATATCCGTGTCCACTTAATTGGAAAATATCGTTTACCATTAAAGAACACACCTTAAAGTTGAATTCAAGCAACACAACAGTTAATTCAATGTTATAACTGAACGTGTCAATGTAGGCATAATTCCTATTTCTGCCATGAGAATGTTATGCAGTCACTGGTTGGCCAACCCAACCCTTCCCCCAATCGGAATAGGTCCACACGAGAATGCACTTAATAATAAAAAAAGGTTATTTTTGTAATGAAGATTTAGCATAAAAAGAATCTTATTTTAATGACATAGTTATATGCCAGTATTTGCGCATTAAACTTGCCATAGTAAAGAAAAAGCTGCAGTGATCCAACCGGAAGTGCCGCCTTTGCACAAACTGTTACACACAGAACCATTGGTTTATATACAATTCTTGTTTTTTTTTTCTCACGAGTTTTGAACGGTACTGACCTATAATGCAGTCTTCCATAAACGTTTAACGTAGGGAGTGTTTTGAGGTATGCCTGGAATAACTTGCCGTTTTACTGCAGATCTGGCGCGATTCGTAATTCAACTCATCACTTTTTAGCTCAATATAACTTTATTAAACTACGGTACCTTCGGGATTTTTGATACATAATATCAATAACCGACTACTGGTGACTGGCGAGTACATAAAAGTGGTTAAAATGACCACTAATCAGTGTAATAGTGAGATGACGCAGTATGAAACATAATGGAAAACTTCGTGATAGACGACATAATCTATGTGGTTCTTTTGCTAAAACCCTTATCCATCCGTATTCTAAACTTCACGCCTTGCTCCCTCCCCCAAGGGTGAACTCCTACAATACTAGGTCCAATACTAAATTTACCATTCCTCGTTGCAGAACTAAAAGATATCAAAACAGTCCATTAACTCCTTTTTAACTTAATTAACTCTATCGATTTGTAACTTTCTCCCCCACCCCGGGGTTTAGTGCCAGTGGTAGATCAGCGGTGCTTTTTGTAAATTTTGAATAAAATACCATTATGTATATATAATGGAAAGCACGATGGTTTCCACAAAATCGCTACAACACTGTCGATAGTGTTTCAGTACAATCGTTATTATGCGTTATAGCTGCTGCTTCCGATGCATTCGAGAAGGATACCCGTCGACGCCGAACGATCAACGCTCCAACAGCTGATCTGGTTGAGAAGGGGGTGGCCCTACCCAAGGCTGCTGCCACTTTGTTTTGGATACTCAGTTCGTCGCCTATCTAGAAATACAAAACACAATATAGATAGCTCCAAAATATAATGTCTGGCGTTACATGCGCACTAAGGCCTAAATGCATTTGTGTCTACGTAATGTGTTGGACAGGATTTGTGTGAGTTTTTTGTGGGTTTTTAAATTACCGATTTATATTTTTCCAATAAATTTGTCTCTCACAACATTTTATCTTGGTAACTAGGCCTATCCATTCCCTAACACGCGACATCAACTTTTTTAGGAAGGACAATAGTGGTATAGAGGGCGGAAGACTGACATATTCTTATTTCAGACTCTCTATTCGATCATTCAGAATAAATGAACAGCTTGAACAACGTTTACCTCCTCTCCCTTCTTGAGCATGTTTAATATTACACTAATGACACCCAGGGACCAACTCTATGCTGTGACTAAGTGCGAATAAATAAAACATCATGGCAGAAGGGTCCCTCCCCTCTTAAATCAAAATGACACAAAAACTCAACTGAATAATGCACTGTCAATTTACCCCGCTTTAACTGTTGAAATTAATACAGCAACTTTTGGCCACACCCGTTTCAAAATTCTGCACCTGTTTGTCCCAATTCATTGGTTATTTCATTACGTTAAAAAAATCTTTAGAACCTTATCACTTGCATCAATATATGAGAGGCTAAATATTTGACAAATATTACCCTGTGAATCCAGACCATTGTTAAGCAATCACTTTACTTTTTCATGTGTATTTGAGAAAAACACATAGCACCAACATTACACCAGAATTTGGTTACCCTTTCTACTACAGTTCGCCTTCCAATTTGAGACCCATATTTTCTGAGTCGCCACTCTAATTCAAGACCAGTTCCAACTAACAATCTTCAATTTTATAACACAAAGGTAACTCTCTAATTGGACCAGGGATTTAGCTAGAAAAACAAAATAGGCCACCGTCCAAAATATGCCGTAGTTTAATGCAACATTTGATAGATTTGAATAAAGAATTTGCTAAAGGTAGACCAGGCCCAACTAGGCTAGGCCGAGCTTAGTAGGTCAAGCCGTCACAGTAAAAGTGGCCGTCCTAAATAATTGTTGGCCGTCCAAAAGACGGCTGGACAGCTAGCTGCCCTTAAATTGGACCCTGAAGGCTGAGACCACCCCAAATTTTTAAGCCCAAAGGTGGTCTCAAATTGGAAGGTGAACTGTACTATCTAAAATTCCAGACAATATAAGCCACAGCTAAATATTCTTAATGCAGTGACTCAAATAGAGAAATTAATTTTGCTTTCATTGATTACAGTAAAGGAGGATGAAATGCACTAAAGGGCCTTAATAAAATAGAGAATATACTTGTACTGTAGTAACAAATGCATTTCTATAGAATATTCATTTATTAGTCATATGTTTTCTTATTTTCTAAATTTGCCAAATATTGTCAGACTCTTGTACAACTAGATGGGATTTATTTTTTTGCCTAATGCTAATTACTTGCTGGTGGATTATTATTACTGGACTTACAATATTACTGACTGTGTAGAAATCAAAATAATATTTTTAATGAAGATATTATCATGCCCATACAGTATACTTTTACTTATATGCTAAACAATTTCATATTTGAACTGCTTCTCTTTACAATTAATTTATTATTCAATGCCTACTTAAATAACAAAATCCTGCTTTTCATATCACAATACAGTATATTGTTCTAAGTCAGTTGAAAATGTCAACATCCTAAGATCTCTTTCTTATGATTGGCTGTAATGATAGGCTCAATACACTGATTGTTAGGATAAACCATCGCACATTAAACAGAGAAAAACATCCCAAATAACAATTACTAGATCCTCCCAGGTTGCTACAGCAAATAAGTGGAATAATTCTGACTTTCCATCCTTTGATGAAAACTTATTTAAAGACATTTCTGTTTAATAATTGCTTAGGAAATTTATTACCACCTTATATTTAGGAGGAAAATGCATATTAAAAATTTTAGTTTACTTTTATCATATACTAACATGTTACTTAAATTGGGATATGGAGAAGCAGAGTTATTTATCAAAAAATATTTATTTTGCAATACATCTTCTATAAGAAAACATGAGGAAGCATATTAGCTTAGGTTCACAGTTAAGTTTTGGGTTTGAACCCTAAAGGATACAAATATATTTTTCTCCAAAAATATTTATCACATAACTTAACATATATTAATTCTCTTACAAATTGAATATTTCCGAGTATTGTGATTTTAAAGCCATGTTATTGTTCATAGCGATGCTAAAAATTTGCACAATTTGTTTATGCATTAGAAGTATTCATACATTAAAATTGGATTACATGTTTAAACATTATTTAAAACTGGGTATGATGAATTTGGCACAATAGTGTTGTCAAGAGAAAATTACAATCTGTTGACCCATGCTAAATATTAGGTGCTGTACAGCACTTTAAGTGGTAAACCTAACTTAAAATGCTGAAAACTCATCTCATTGGTGATTTGCTTCCCAAAATCACACAGAATCATACATTTATATCACTGCAAGTAAAGATTGTGATCACAAACACAATCAAAATAGACAATTTTTGCTATATATCTGGAAATGAGCTTATTAAAATGGTGTAATTTTTTATTTCTTATCAAATAAAAGTACAGTAGTTCAGGGGGTATAAGCCTACCTTAACTCTTATTAATGTCCTTGCAAAATGTTCTACCAGTAAGCCCACTCCTTAACTGTTTTAGTAATTGTCATGCTCCACCTGTGTAAAGTAGAACCTTGATTTTACGCACGGTACGGGACCGGAGGGCGTACGTAAATCAGGGAATTCGTAAAATTAAGGTTGGGTTAAATTTATGGTGACCTTTGACCTAATACATGCATAACACTCAATAAACATATGTTATAAACGGACGATGTGGCCTAGGTGTACAACTGTAGGCCTACGAATAAAACCATGTGTTTTAAAATGCTAGTTAGGATATATTCCTCCCTATTGTATGTGGGCCTACTAGAACGTTTAGCCTAGCTAAGGTTGTAGGCTCTCTACACCACCCAAAAGTCAACCTAGTTTCAAGTTCAAGGGGGTGAGATTAAATCCAAGGAACTACGGCATTAATTCACAATACAAAAGTTTTTTCAATTGTCACTTCTTTAAAACCATTACTTAGCTTATCCACTTGCTCGTCACCATGCACTAATCCTTAGAAAAAACTGTGTCCCAAAATAAACAGCTATGTTCCCTTATTTGATGCCACCATGTCATGTGGCACATCAAGATACAAGAACCCCTTTCGTGGCTTAGACCGATTCCCTGAGGTACGGCCCTCATTCCTTGGATTCAGATCAGCACACTTATTAAGATGACGGTGACAATCCCGGAGAGGTGGAAATTCCTGATTGGAGCTTCCTCAGTGACAGATACGTTCAGTAAGATCCTTCTATAATAGCAATGGAAAATAATTTTAAAGTAAATGCTAGCAATAGTTTGTCTGAATGTGAGAGGGCTTAAAATATGCACCTTTTCACTTTTAATTGGTGTGTGATGTCCTATTTATGTATGACTGAGAGAGCAACCCTAAACCGACTCTTGAATAGTTAGGCTACCAAGAGCTAAACTTAAGATACTAGACATAGTGTGTCTTTGCATAGGATTGTAATTCTTGATTACTTACTTAAAAAATACTGGCTAATTAAATCTCATCATATAAATGAAACATTTGTGTTTTATCTAATGTATTTAAGCTTTCTTTAACCGGGAAGGGGGGGGGGGCATCCATTCAGCGACTAGCACTGGTTTCCAAGGAAGCACTGGTACATAAAGAATATACAGAAAAATTTTTTACAAATGTGAAATTCAAAAGGCATTTAGCACCATCCAGTTAATAATAAACTAGCATATAGGCAATATTTTAATCTACATCTTAACTTCAATTTCTGTTTGTTGCCAAATGACTTTATATATGAATCAAGTGTACGTACCAATGGCTCGAGTTCCTTCCTGTCAACCAATTTGAACTCCACGATGAAGTAGTAGTAGTGCTTGTAACATGTGTTGATATGTGCTTCCTGTAGTGAACAAACATACACATTATTATACACTTGTCAGTTAACCAATAATCCAATCCAATCCAATCAGAACATTTGTAAAGCGCCTTTCTTTGCAAATACGAAGCGCTGCACCCCACATATTTAGGCACCTCACAACCGAAAAGCAGCCGTGATCATTGCCTAACCCAAGCACAGAACAAGTAAACAAATCAAAAGAAGCAGTGGCAAAGCTTGTAAACATGAGTAAACAGAATACTAAAGAGGAATAAGCTCGTAATATGGTCCTGGAACTATTAAAAAAAAAAAAAAAAAAGATTATAAGAGAGTGTAAAACATGCACAAATAGAAATCAACACTGCAAGCTAAGCCAAGTGGAACAGATAACAGTTAATGAAACAGTCTATAAACAAAAAACTTTAAATTGAGATGAGCAATAGATTTAATAGGTTAAAGGAAGTGAAAGTCACTATTTGGGACCAAATAATAGATAGTGATTTGTCTTTTTGTAAGCATGTATATAGGAATATGAACTGAAAAGGCCTGACTAGCGGAATAAGAATGAATTTTTGAAATAGGAATGAAGAGATGTACCTTAGTTGAAGGTAAAACTTAAAATTGAAATAAAAAGGTCCATAATTTGCAGTGTCACATGTTCTAGGAAGAGTGGACACATTTAAAACTATTCAATATAACATTGAATGTATAAAATCAGTTTATATGATGTTTATACCATCATTAGTAAATTATAATACAAAACTAGTGTTTTATTTTTATACAGTATTTCTTTTGGATAACCAAACATTTAAACTAATAAAAAATATTGATTTAATTACTAGTTTAGATCATGAAAAACAAACATAAAATAATTCATCAGAGAAACAACTGATTATATTAATTGTGTTTGGCTTAATTGTGGAGGTTAAGAAATTTTAATTTTGTAACAGGCATAAAGTTATAGATTAATTAAACCATACAAAAAATGAAGTCAGGTTCTACTTCTATAGAACCATTGTAATAATCCAATAGTTAAGTTTATGCTGTTGGCTGAGTCACTTAAAGTGTAAGCAGTTTGTTTCATAGTAATGCGGAACAAACAATGAACATAAAATTTTATTAAAATATATTATACAACAATGCTGGTATAGTGTACCACAACAAAGGTATTTAATATAATAATCTGCAAGTCAAATGCCAACATTATTAATTGGAATAAACTGTGGTAAATTGTGTACTGCACATTTGTCAGCACCATCAAATAAATAGTTAAAATTTTTAGTAATTCATTTTTTCAATGGGATGGAAAGTATAAGTAATTTTTTTTGGTCACTGGTTACAGAATCCATTATACACAGTATGCAACCAGTTATTTAATTTTATTTAATTTTTTTAAAGCATTTATGCATCATGTTATATCCTTGACTTGATGCAGACACCACATAGAGACTTTCTGACTACTAGGATGTCAGACAAAGTTAAATAGTGATGTTTTTACTTTAGCTTTTCCTGAACTATATTTTATTTATATTGATTATTTCTCTAATTTCCTTAAGAACTGAATGAAATGAGGTCAAACTATGATTCCACTTGATCGATTAAAAATATATTTAATAAAAATAAATGTAGGAGAATAAACTATAACTTATAGCATCATTGAGGGGGAATGGGAGAGGGCGACATGTGGTACTATTGTAACAGCCAAAGACAGGCACATAGTTTATTAATGTACGTTAATGTCATTCCTCGACAGGGCCTCAAATGAATTAGAGCATAGGGGTAACATCTACCCTTCTGAAAAATGCAATGGGTTCAGAGTCAGATATATAAACTGGACCTCTAGTTTTACTTAAGAAGTGAAGACTTAATTCAACTAACCAAAACCTTAGCAAGTAGGGTCTCAAACCAGAGTTGATGTTAATGATATTGACACCAACATAGAGCCATGCAAGTAATAAATTAAAATATAATAAATCAAGGAATGTTGCTAACATTCAAATACAAAGCAATGGACGTTTCTAATTATTAATATTCGAGTTTCTCTTACTAACCTGGAAAGGTTTCTATGTATAATAATATTTGTATATATTTGATTTGATTGCAAATAAATCACTAGCTTACAATCCTTTTAACAACTGCCACAACATATAAACAAGCATAGTGCATTATGAATTAGTCATTACATCAGGAGATAGCTAGTTTAACTACAGTGTTCTTTTATATAGCTTTTGTGTTAACTGCCCCTGTGGGGGCTGTACACACTTAGTTATCATCTCACTTGTAAGTTATGAGAGTAAATCCGGTTTTGAAAGTTTAAAATTTAAATAGAGAAATTTTTGGATATCACTGCATCATAACCAAACATAAGCCTCCGAAATATGCCATGACTTGGCTAGACCAGAGTCAACAATCTTCTTCTTGTACAGTTATGAATTGCCAACACAGGAAGCATGGATGGATGGGTTATTTTTTTAAAGCTTAATGTAGGACATTATTTAGAAAGATCTAAAAAAAGACTATGCTCCCAGTAGGAGCTTTATTTTTATGTGTAGGAGTAATTTTGTACACAGGCAGAGCCCCAGTCAAATAATGCAACTATTTTGTTAATGGTAAAATGATTACGATGAGCACATGCTGTTTGATGTAAAAGAAATAAAAATTTATTTTAAAAATAACCAAAATGATTTAGGAGCTTGCTTACCTTGACTAACTGGGAACACACTCTCATCATTGATGATAGTCTCGATCCAGTCCATCAGATTTGCTATGTATTTGTTGGCTGGTAATTTGGTTGGTTTCTTATATTTATTGCCATCGCACCACATGTATTCATACCTGTAATAACCACATAGAATGAAATAATAACTGCAGATTACATTCTTAAATAAAAATCTTCCTAAAGCTCTGTTGCATGTCCATATATAGTCATGATGTGCCTATATATGGCCTTGCTGAGATGTCAACATGACCATATTTAGGTATGTCACATTTTGTCAAATAAAATTTGAGTGACAACTGACTTACTTGGGGCCTCCTGACATAATAGGACATGATTCATCTGTGCAGTAGTCGCATATTGTCCCGTAGATCAGATTAATACGATTAAAGAAATCAACAACTGAAAATAAAAATAGAAATGATTAATGGGCAAGCACATAGAACTTAAGCATTTTAACTTCTCAGCATATCAGTTCTAACTTCCTTTTGGAAAGCAACAGGCCATACTACACCCATCCTACAGTATGAGAGAGTATGAGAGTACGAAGTTGAGAGAGGCAACATTAGATATATTTGGCTTAATGAGCTCGCTTAAATTGTATTTTGCGGCATGTGGTGATACCCAAGGCCAGGAGGTTACAAGTATTCTAGCATAATTTGACATAACATGAGTCAATATTGAAAAAATGAAAGTAGAGTCGAATTCAACCATAAAATGACCTTTAAAAAAAAAAGCAAATTTAAAAAAAAAAAAAAATTTTCAGTACCAAAGAAGACATGTAAGCGGCGAGGGTGATAAACTAATAATTTTTTTTATTGGGCCTAACCATAGAGCTATTGATTTATAGCTCCATGATGCAACATACTACAACTCACCATGTACTGCCATCCAATCATTAAAGTCCTCCTCTGCAGGTAAAGAAACACAGCTCTTTAAATCTAGGCCCGAGTTGAGTGAAGCCTCTGCTTTTTTGTGAAGCTCATATCGCATAGTCCCTTGCTGAAACTTTTTCTTCGGCCTGAAAGTCTTTAAAGGAAAAATAAATGTTCTATCTAATTTTCTACCATAATGTAGTATAGCATTGAATACTCTTACAGAGTTGTAGCTATAAAAATCTAAGGGTGGGTGGCAGGTATACATTTTAGGGGTGGGTGGGTGATAAGATTGGTAAACTCTAAATAATAAGAGTAGATTTTAAGAATGGGAAGGGAGGTTAATGAAGATGGCTGAAGGGCCATGAAATTAGCTTTAGACTGGGTGGCCCCATCCACCATAAAATATATCCCTGCTCTTATCAAGATTAATTACCAAGCTTCATTATTTTTCTGGTTGTACTGTATCAGGCTTATATGCTATCTCCAGACATTAACCTGCTTACTATAAGATATTTGTCTTTATTATTTACAATATGCATTGTATGTCAATGGCTGCCGAATGTCTGAAATCAGATGGCTACAAGTACCAGTACCATTATGTGAAATAAATTGAATTGAAAAAAAAGCTTCTAATTTGAGAAAATATTTTTGGCAAGCAATATACAGTACTGTCATAATATACAGTAATTGAAACACTATAAAGCAAAGTAAACCGTAATAATGTATAGCAGTATAGACCATATAGAAGGTTTAAAATTTCATGTTTCATCGTTGGCAATAATCCATTAAATTCCAACATTGCAGAATTCTATTTTGCATTGTAATCACAGTGTAATGATTATTTTGACTAAAGTACTTCCTTGTTTTGCAACACATTTTAACCCTGTCCTTACATCCGCGTACACTTTTTAACTAGCAAATAATAGTTATATGAGGATAGTAGAATGCTACCTAGATAAGAACCATGAAGGAGCGTCTGCCTACAGAATCAAGTTAACTAGAGAATCTTGTCACAGTTATGGTATCAGTACCAGTTCCAGAAATTTTTAAAAGAGGGGGCCCAGGGAGGGATTTTTACAAATAAGAGGTCCAGACCACAACAGTTTCAGAATAATTTAATAAGTGAACATCACATATATTGCATTGTAATTTTTTTTAAATTAGTGGCAACCTTTCCCTGTGACGTCCCTCTCCCTTACTGGATCTTCCCCTGTTGTTTTGGGCTACACTCTCGAAGTGAAAGTAAAGCAATTAGTAGGCCTAGTCTAGTTGGGCATGAGAGAAGTGTTTCTCTTGAATCCAGGTGGATGCATGTAAGGCTATGTATCCGAACTACTAACATTCAAAAGAACCCGTAGATAAACACTGTCTCAACGTGTTTATGTAAATTCAAGGTATTGATTGGGGGAGCTGGCTTGACCCTGAACTTTAGTGTCGCTATCTATCTTAATGCACTATCCAAATCGATTCCAGAGATAGAGGATAGGCCCTAGGTATGCTAACTAAACCTGAACCTACAGGTTGGTCCTAGGTCTAGGCCTATCTTTCATTGACATCATAGGCTAGCCTAGGCCTGTGCCAGAGCCTACCTATGCCTAGGGCCTAGGCCTGTGTAGGGCTAGCCGGTATGGTTAGGCCAAGGTTATATCATGGCTTGTGCCCAGGTGTATCTTATTTTTACCTGATGGATTTCTAAAACATGCCATTTATTGGTGCTCTTTTGAGCCATAAAAATACAATATCCAGTATTAATGCAATGGGTACTCCGAAGAGGTACGGGAACATGCTTGTCATTTTGTTGACTGCACGGTGACGTAATTAAGCTACAAAACATAGACTGGTTCTTTTACGGCCTGCCTCGATAATTTTTAGACCTAAGCATTGCAGTACAGAATAGATGGGATTAATTGTATTTACGTGTCATAAGCAACTTGCCAAATGGTGAAGCAGGTACTGATTTTCGGTGGTTTTTCGTTGTTATCCAGTATCCAGCCTTGAAAAGTAGCGGAATGTGGTCGTGACATATAGAAGCCCCAGTGTATGAGATATGAGCACATTACTGCAAGCGGTTACAGAGGAGATAGGTGAAAGTACGCGGTGGTGATTAGCAGAATTAATATATAGATGTACTCTTCTTGTTTCTCTTAACTTTTTTTTATAATATTCATTTAATTTTTAAACCCTTGCTAAAACGTTAAACAATGTATCCATAAAATTAATAATTATTATTAAATCATAATTTAATGATTTACATTAATGTAATGCATTTTTTTTAAAATTGGTTACATAACCATTTATTTTTTTAAATTCTACTTTCACTTTCATTTCATAAATCAGGGAAACACCTGCCCCTTTAAGGTAATTGTCCTTTGGTAGAATAACCAGAGTGTGATAAATGGGATGATATTGCAAGGATGACTTCCAAGGGCTTGGCTTCTAAATTTTCATCTAGGAGGGAAAAGGAAACCACAGCAGCTTGTAACTATTTCCCTTTTTACTTCCTGTTTAAATGTAAAGTAATGCAGTGCAGTACTACTAAGCAGATAAGCACCTCAACACCTTGTGTTCCAAGGTGCTCCTCTATATAATATAACCTGTACTAGAAATTGCAAGTGAAGTGCTGCGAAGTACAATTGCATATTAATGTTCTTCGAACAAAATTATTTATGCGAGTCAAGTGAAAATAATGAATAATAAAAATATAACAAATAATATGAGACACGACCCATTGTCTGTATTAGAACACTTCTGTAATTTTTCATTTTTGTCAAAAAGTGTCTATAGTGGTGAATTATGGTTTAGGTTTTTTTTAATAAAGTTTCAAAAATTTCTATGTATGTGGAAAATGTAGTTAATTACCAAAGGTTACAATTTTTATTTTGAAGACTGCATGGTCTAGGAAGTGTACATTTTTTTATGGGGCAAGTTTCCAAGGGCGGGTTTTCTAGGGGCGAGTTGACTGCCAAAGAGTGTTGCCAAAGTGCGAGCCAGCGTGTTATTTGATCACAAGTGCGAGACATCACAAGTGTGTGAGCAAGGAGGTTAAATTGGTGTGAGCCAGTGAGCCATGACATCACGACAATAGATACGAGACGTTAACGAGTTATTCGAGGTATCGGCTGAGATTTGTGGAGCACAATTCAAAAAACAACTATAGGTCTAATAATGAATTATTGTGATGTTAAATAGACAATGTTAGCTATCAAGGAGCGACGTTGTTTTTCATTGGGACCTTCGTTAGGGGCTTTATGGACCAGCACACCAGGGTAACCCCCTACTCGTCTCGACAGATTTACTGGGTTCTTTACACTGTTTTTCGCATGAGCCATGTGTATACTGGGCCTACGTTTTATAGTCCTTATCCGAGAAGACTTGATCCACCTCTGGAACCATAGACGAGCGTGCCGTTTGAAGCAGCACCAATATTATGACGGCCATTCTCAGAAAGAACATAAAAAGTCAACATTCTGTTACTTCTTGTACAGTTTATTCATGTGAATTGCCAAAACAGAAAGTGTGGATTGTTTTAAAAGTAGCCAAAAAAAACCAAAAATCAATACATCAAGCAGTAGACACCCTCCTGCCCACCAGAGCCTATTTTTATTATAGAATTTTACCATCTGTTGATGATGAAAACATATTGTCCGTATTGTCAAAATCATCTTTATCACTTTTGGTGGTGTTTTTCCCTATACCAAAATCATGTGGATTTACTATCAGTTGGAAAGACTCTTGAAATCATGTTGCATATTACATCCTCTCAAAATAGAAAGATACCTGTAAGGTCAGGCATTGTCATCATAGAAGGTCAAGTTAAAGATCAATGACCTTTGACCAGGATTTCACCTCAGGTGGTGTAGGGTTGCAGCGAAACAGACAGGAAATGTTGAAGAATACTGTACTTAGTGATCATGTCTACCAACAGGATGGCATTGAAATTTCAGAGAAAAAAAAATCCACAGGTTTATGGAAAACTTTACCTGCTGAGCAGCCTGCAGTTTCTTCATGGATTATCTTTTAAGAGTATTATCTTTTAAAATTTGAATATCCAACACGGAACATACAGTATTGAATCTTTTTCAATAAATGCACAGCATATATGTAATTTATAGCAATAAAGTACATATTTAAATAAATGCACAGGCTATAATATAATTTATAACTAAATTATTCAATTCAATAATGTAAAGTATAACCTTAGTTTTGATATATTGGGTGTTGGAGAAAAGGAAGAGTATATTTTTGTATATTCAGTATAGCGTTTGAGTATAAAGCATGTTATGTTTACTCGTCTCCATAGGTTGGGTACAACATTGATTGTATCTTACTACTTCCTTTTCAAAAATAGTAAGTTACGAAATTATAGCAATGATCGAGGAATTCACGTTCACATGAAAAAACTATATTTTAATGTTAAATAGTACATGATTTGGATGCTATTATATTAAGTCTAACATAAATAATGCACCACTAGTGCTTATAACAGTATAACATTTGACTATCATTTTAAATTTTGAGCAATTAATACTGTAATTAAAACAGAATTAACAAACAATCATCTACAGTATTGACTGTATTAATCAGCATTTGCAACTTCTATACAAACATGAGGGTATCACAATGAAACAGCGTTGTACTTATATTCCAGATAGTGACTGGATTCTAAAGTATTCATCTTCCCTTTAATCTTGAGCCTAAACCTTTAACTATGACCTACTACAACAATAAAACCACTGTAGGCTTCTAATATTCACTAGAATTAGGACTGAAATACCATAAAATATTTCCATTTTAACATGTTTGGATTTGGTAAAAATTATGTACTGTATCTAATCACATAATATAGTAGGCCTATCTGGTGTAGAAAACTACCAGTATGAAAGAAAATCACTTTGATGTTGAACATATGTAGCTTTTATGGAATAGATGAATCAAAAAATTATTGGTTTATTTACGATACAGTAGGGTCTAATAGTTTAGTGAAGTATAAAAACAGGACAGTATAAGATTATTGGCTCAATTTTTCTTTCACAACAATTTCTCAATAAATGACAAACTTAGGTTGCCAAGGGACAAGAATTCAGCCAAAAAGTGAGTTGTCCTGATTAAAAATCATTGTCCTGGATGTCGTACAATAGAAGTTACTCATGCCTGAATGATAGCAAACTAAACTTCACTGAATGACTACCAGCATGACATGATAACACTTCCTGTATCTTCGAATACAAACATTCACCCTATACTTTGACTTGTGGCAACACCTTTTGTATGCTGTAGTAGTATTAAAATACTCAATACTCATTTAAAGTACTATTGTACAACCCTCAGAGGTGTATAGGTTTAAAAGTAGGGAAAACAAACATTAGTCTAGTGTGTACTCTATACTCTACCTGTAGTAGTACGGTATAATCATTTTTTTTAGTAACTAATGTTCAGTTGTGGCAGACATATAAAACCATACAGTACATGGATAATTTCAAATACTTATTTATTTTGTAAAATTTATTTCAGACTTATGTTATGTTTTCGAATATGTTTATTTTTATTAGTATTTATTGCTTCTAGTTTTAGGTTCATAAGTCTAACGTAAATTTAATGTAATAACAACCCGTACTTGTACTTGTTCCGCTCTGCCTACCATGTCAATGTTGTATTTTTTTATATATGTATTAAAGGTAGAGAAATTTTAAAAAAATTTAAAAAAGGGAAGGAAAGAAACCCTCTGAACTGGATGTCAAACAGCCACATGGCCCCGGGTGTGTTACATAACAACAATACTCGGTATTCTGGGCTTCCTGGGTTTGCACATTTGGGTATTCAAGCATATTCCCAGACTGCACAGTGCATAGCCAACTTTTATCGAGTCTTGACCTCTTCTAGAGTGGTCGCAGCACTTCAAGTCAAGACAACAAATAGGGAAAAAAATTTGTTTCCTAAAACTGAGTTTATGTGCTTTTGAGGTAGTGTCCATCATATTATAAATCATCAATCCTAGCCAATTTAGTTATTGAAAAATTTATTGATTGTCCAATTTGTTCGATAATCTTTTGTTTTTTTTAATTGTTAAATGTTATGTTGTAAATGTTTGGCTGAATTATTATATACTGTAGGCCTCCAATAGCCAAAGTCTTTCTTAACACACAATATACAAACTAAGAAATACAAACCACCGCACAAACAACTCCATTTCTACCTGTATCTGTCAGCTACTGCACAACCGCCATGGCTATGGCTATTACGTGCAGGTAACGCTGTCGCTGCAATTGGTTGCAAATTATATTTTTAGATGCACAGTCTTAGTAAGCATGTCAATGTCGATGCCTGTCAAGTTGGGACTTGAAGGTGGCCAATGTAGGGACACTTGTAATGCTGTTGGGGAGCAAATTCCATTCAGGAGTGGTCCATGGATAGAGCGAATGAAGGTAGTTGTTTTTATTGGGCTGGACTCATTTTTGAGGACTTGGTAGCACAAGCATGGGAATTTATGGAAGAGTTTCAGCATGTATACAGTATATTTGCGAGGACTTGGTAGCACAGGTGTGGGAAATACCAGGTAAATTTAGTAGTTAAAGTCACTGCCCCGTCCATCAAAGTCGCATAATTTTTCACACGATGTTATGATAAGATTTTTTGCTAACCTCCGTGCTAAACCTACCATTGATACATAGCCACGAACAGTAAGGATCGCGAATTACAGAGAGAACCGCGGTCTTATTCGCCATCGGGAACAGTACAATTTTAAATTGGTAGGTTACATGGCCGTAATAGGAGTCCAACCGACACTGAATTTTGGTAAATGGTAGTTTTAGTCCCTAATAATTTTCAGTAAATAGGTAGCGCAAGTGTCTCATGTCTTGGTATGGCTGCTGCACGCCCCCGTTAGGTTGGTATACAAGTGAGGCCCCAGGGATGGGGGTGCACCAGAGTTTCATACACCATCTCTTTTTAGACTTTTAGTTGATTTGTTACAGCTGGAAAGATTCAGATTTAAAGCTCTATACAAACAATTAACACTATGCCTAGGCTCAGATTTATATTCAACATATTAAGCTAATAGGTCGCACAAGGACATATGCTTATGTTTAGGCTAGGCAGGCTACACTACGAAGTACCACTACCAGTAGTGGTCACAGTCACAGTGTGGTATAAAAATATAACAGGACTCCCTAGGCCTAGCCCTACTTTTTGGTAACAGAAGATTATTCATATTCAACAGACACACAATATAATATTTATGTATACCTATACTATGCTATATGTAGTTTAAGTATTTACTTACTTTCTCTTTTGAGAAAAATTTACCGAAATCCATGATTTAACCTCTTGTATATAAAGTATATTTTGTACTTCTTTCTTCGCTCACAAATTTTCTACAGGTTCGGCAAACTTCCCCTACGCTTGTTTTTTTTGGTAGAAGCAAACGTTGAGGGCGCTATTTTTGTATGGAACGCCGTTGGTGCATTTTATGTATATTTTTCTTAGGCAAATTAAATTTAGGGCAAAATTTTCTGGTGAGAAAAAAAAAACACTGCAAAACCAATATTCATGATGGTTGCACTAGTTTTAATTCTTATTGTGAACCCTGACAAATATATCAAAACTTTGTTGAAAACACCTGAAAAAAAAGTTAACTGTTCTACACTGACATGTATAAGTGGAAAAAAAAGATGTTATAATTGAAGCATAGCCCTCAATGAAAAGTACCTTTATCAGTTGTATGAAAAAAATTTCTCTAACAGCATTTGAACCTGCGAACTTGTCAATAGCATTAAGAAAGGAATCATACCATTAGACCATTCAAAGAGACATAATATGGTATAGGTGCAAATCTAAACCCCAAGACTTTCTTTCGCACAACTGACTTATTACAGCGGAGCTATGGTTAATAATAGCTACACTATATTAATCTGTCCACTGCATGCAACAAATGATGTACTGGGTTCTTTAATAATAATAATAATAACCCACACATACAAGCCTGTTGTGTACACTACCTATACAGTATCTGATAAACTCGTAGAAAAGACAGATGACTGGGAACAGCAAGTAATGAACAATTGTTACATAAAATTTAGAACATCGGTTTTCTTTATCTAAAGACTTGTTCCACAAGTCATGGTTTCAGAAATTTTCTGAAGGGGGTTCAAGTCAAAGAAGAAAGTCTTGACAACCTCTTGTGGAATCTGACAATGGGGGTCCATTGTCCGACGGAGCGAGGAAATTCTGTTATCTGTTATTAAATATTTAATTTTTATTAACAACAAAAAATACATACTTAAGACAACCTGACTTTAGTATTCAGATTTAATATATATATTACGCTATATTTAGCATATAAGTGCAAAAATACTTTATCTAATAACATGGAATCTACAATATTCATAAATACTTATTATAAAAACATTTTGTAGTAAATTCCAGGTAAGTTACCCAAGTGAACCTTTATTGCATCTTTACAACCTGACATGTATATAGTTTCGTTCACACTATCAAATTTTATGTGACAAATTTGTGTGATATGCCCATATATGGGCATGATGTCATAATTACATCCAAATATGGGCATATCAGTTTTTTGTCGCATAAAATTTGATAGTGACTGTGTGGACTGAGTTGTAATCATCATTGTCAAATTTTGACACTGAGGGCCTTCCTTCCCAGCCCAACACCTCGACAACTTGGGTATGCACTTTATTCCTATTTCTCATACTGTATTTGGTCAAGAATAGCATTTCTTTAGTTTAGTTCAATCATAAACATTTTTGGAATGTATAAGCAAGTTCAAGGTTTTGATATTGAAAATGTGCAATAACATTATTTGTGTTTAAACCTTCCATGTTGGTACATGGAAGGTTCACACAAATACACTTAACTGCAACATTATGGAATTCTTCCAGACGGGCTGAGAATGTGTTCTAATTCAATTCAATATAATTTATCGTCAAACGTAGTAAAAACATTGCTTGAAATTTAGGCTGCATGTACACATAAAAGTGTCTAGAATGGTCACATAAAAAACATTAAAACAACATCAGTGCAGTGTAAAGAAGAGCAAAAATATTCCATATGTGTCTGATCCAATGGTTGGAGTAATAATATGAAGCACTTAGAAGTCTGTTAGCACAAGCTACTACAAAACTAACAACTAAACATGCAAGACCAAATATTATACATATTTTAAATAAATTTCATACAAATATATTATTTTTTTTTATAAATAATGTTAATTTTTAATTTATTTTTCACTTATTTCTAAAAATCCTTATAAAGGAGCAAAAAAAAAATATATAAAGTAAAGTACATACAAGAAAATACACAACATGAAAAGCTAAAAAATGTGAAATTTAAATAATATTTCAAAATGATTGTATTAGAATGTTGTATTTTTGATGGATTTCTAAAGCTCATTCTTTATCATACGGTCTAATTTCACTTCTTCGGAATACTGCAACAGTTCCTTCTGAAATATAAAAAGAATAACATTCATTTAAAAGAATAACATTCATTTAAAAAAAAACCATATCTAAATCTCATTTCACTTTATTTAAACTAAATATTTGTACGAAAACAATTGAACATAATATTAATTTAATTTAAATTTAATATACAATACCCAAAGTCAACTTCAAGTAAATTAAATTTGTCCCCTGAAAAAGTAAGAGTGTGCAAATAAAGTGTAGTTTTTTGGAACTTCTTAAGAAAAAGGGGTTGAAGCAACCAAATAAAACCCAGTTGGATATTCTACTGAATACCAATAACATACAATGACTGAAATAAACAAATGACTTTACCCTTCTCTGTTGACCAATCTCCAGAAGCATAATATCTTGTAAAATAGACAGATGAAATACAACTTCATTCTCTATAGATTCAATCTGCTGGTAAATAAAAAATACAAATGTATTTATGTGAAATATATTAATAGCATTGCATGCGTTAGATGTATAGATGCTCTTAGTGTTCCCGCACTATGATGTCACAACTGGGCTTGCTTTGTCATGTCATGTCTATTTGGTGGGTTCAACAGTTGGTTTGTTATTCTCATGATTTTGTACCATAGCTCATTGGATATAAGCCCATCTTGGCTATAAACTCAGCCCAAACATAGAAAATATTATAATGGTGAATGATAAAGATAATATAAATAATAAATAAATGATAGATTTTTATAGTAATGATAATTAAATTTATATAATACTGATAAACGTTTTTAAAATATAGCAACCAAAATAGTATTTCAGACTCACTTCAGCTATGTCGTCCTTCTGAAGAATACCATCACTATTACCGTCCATTATAAGGAAAACCTGGTAAAAGTAAGACACAAGTTGATGTATAAAAGTAAATGTACATATATTTGCTATCAAATCTTGCTTTATTATGACAAATACTCTTTCCTTCAGTCTGATCCAGGACAAACTGAGAAGCTAACCCAGCCAAGGAGTTCAATCAACAGTTGGACCCAGCATGTTTTTGGATGCTAGAAGACTGCCTTTGGGATGCAACTGGCATCAGTGGGAGGAACAGAACTGAACTGAATACATTTATACTGATCGCATAGGGAGCAAATGGATCATTTAATATATATTAATGCATTCTCTTATCAATTATATTTTTTTAAAAGGAGAGACTTAAAAGGATTCTGGTAAATGGAGAAAAAATTCATTTATTAGATTGGAGAACACTAAAAATTGTGTACTTTAGGCTTTAGAGCATGGAGATATCTTTGGCATTGACAAAAATCAAGAAATATTGGAAAGATGAGCATATTCACTACAGAGGAAATGCTAAAATTATAAAGTTACCTTCTCTACAAGTCTGTCACATTCTTCACTCCATGTTAAGTCCTTCAGTCTTGGGTGGATCTTGGTAAATAAAATTAAACTAGGCAAGATGAACTGGTCTCCTTCCAACACAGATGTCATAATGTCTTGCCTGTAATGAAAATGGAATCAAACATAAAAGAAATCAATAATAATCACACTTAACTTTCTTTTAAAACCCCCAAAATGGAGGTAGTCTTTTAGTCATCTTAAAATGTTTGCAAATGGTAGGCCAACTTGAGGGCTTACTCTGGGCAGTTTCTACCACTAAACAAGAGCAATAGACCTTTCTGCGAAAAGTCCCACCACTGCAAAATGACAATGTTACTTCTATGTAAACGTGTGTTTGTGAGATGTGCACATGTTTTATAGCAATAAACCGCTGATCGAACTATACATAAATTTGATTGACATTCCGGAAATGATCATTAAGATAAAAAAGTCTAAACCAATTCTAATGTGGATGGTTGTGGTTCTGGTAGGGAAAATCTCCCAAAGACTCCAAAAGTAGGAGTATAACAGGAGGAGCAGAAATAAGGTTGAATGGTACGATAGGAAAGATCCCCACCAGTAATGAGCAGGTTTTCCGTACCACCTCAGGGCCCAAGGGCCTGATAGGTAAGTAAATCACTATCACACGAGCATCCAATTTGCAAAGAAACCCACATTTGGCAGTGTAAATCTTGCAGCATTTAGATAAAAAGTAAGCCAATATTGCACCTCCAAGGGAGAAAGGGAGAAAATTAGGATGTTGGAATAATATAGTAACATACAATCAGTAAATTAAATCCTTTCAAAGATTGTGTAGTCTATTATTATTAACTTACAAAGGCTCATATATGAGTTCTTCTTCATCATCTGTTTCAACTTTTTCCTCGTCCTTCATATCAACATCAGCCAATGACATTTCTTGAACTGTTGACCCACAATTTTCCGGAGTTGGTAAAATCTTGCCATCATGTTCCCACCACAGATTTACAGCTATATTCCTCTCATACGAGTTCACCTGATGAAACCTAAGTCACAGAATATATAGAATATATGAACAGTATGGTATGTAGAATTTAGATGGGAAGGTGAGGGCTCTACATGGGAAGTGAGGAGGAAATAGCTGGAGCTATCACGTGATAGGAGGTAATATAGAGGGGAAATAATTACAATATCAGCACTATAGAATAAAAAAACTTTAAATATTTACCATAATATTTATCATTGTCATCCTCACCATAGCAGATGCCACCACATAAATTTTAACAATTAAAAATACATAATGTAATATTAAACTACATTAAAATTAAATTTACATAAAATTTTCTTTACGAAAGCTCACCATTTATACGGTATAAAGATGCAGTCTCCAGATGTCATCTCTGCATAATGAAACTCAACTTGAGATAAACCAGGATACTTGGTAAAGTCTACTTTATCTACATCCACACTTGAATACCCACCTTCAAAATGGTCAAGAATAACCTGCAAAGCAAGATGAAATGAAGTTGTGAAGCAGCCTATTAGAAGTTGGAACACTACACATCAGTAGCAGTGATGAGCTTTTCGAACCTGTTTTTCAGTTTTTGGCTGGCTTGTATTTGAGCAGAAAGCTCTCCGAATTATTGAAATTGATTGTGCAATTGCCTGTAGGGAACTGGCCATTACTAGTCTCCAACATAGAAGGGAGGTCGCTGCTGTCACATTGCTTTACAAAATGCACACCAGTCACTGTCCTAGAGATTACCAGGCTTTGCTACCAAGTCTATACACATCCTGCAGAACAACTCGGGCTAGCTCATCCATGCCCGATCATGCTGTAGCCATGCCTCATGCTAAAATGTCAACACTGGACAGAACCTTCCTTCAGTCTTTAATCTTGTAATTTACAATTGTGTTGCACTTTTAAATTTGTATGTTTATTATCTGAGCAGCAGCGAACCACTTGATTAGCCTAATCCGGACTCTCTTGATTAGTGACTCCTGAATTAGCTATTGTTTGCTTTTGCACTATATATACAAAAAAAAAACCAAAAGTAATCTAAGCAGTTAACAAGTTGGGTGCCAGCGTTGAGTATAGACGCCCACAGGGTGTTGCTGAGGGTGCCAGGGACAAGTATACTCGTCAAAATTGGGGTAACATTCTAGCGTTTATTATAACTTCTTTGTCATACATTGTAGAACCACAGACTCAACGGCTGGTAGTTCGGGGAAGATACACCTAGACAATAACGTACAAATGACGTACGTATGTTTGTTGTATTATGTTGCCGGTAGTACGCTAGAGCAGCACAAGTGAGGGTGCCCTTTGAACATATACCAACCCATGCAAAAAGTGGACAAGATGACTCGCACTTCACATAGTCAATACAAAGTGCTATCACAGTGCCGTCGACGAGTATACTCACCCCCTAATATATTCCTGCCAATTTATTAGACACAAAATATTGATGACTAGATAAAATTTCAAAAAAGTATGTTTTGTACATGTAAACTTGTTTTGGCACACAGGAAGGAACCTTAAAAAAAGGTCTGGCAGTCACCCTGTTCAAACGTAATTAATTTGAGCACTCTGGTGTGCCATTGGCTTTGATGCTGCATAAAGTAGCTCTCAAGACGCGATCTACATGCGTTTCAGTGGCAGTCAATGTAGAACTGTGCCATTGGCTTTGATGCTGCATACAGTAGCTCTCAAGACACGATCTACATGCGTTTCAGTGGCAGTCAACGTAGAATGTTCTTTAAAACATACAAAGTGAACCTTTCAAAGTTGTTTCCTTTAAGACTCGAATTCTTGACAATAAAATATTAGACAAAAATACTCACATATTCTCTATACTTGAAATCAATAAAAAGAATTTCTTTTTTGCCACTAAATAAACAATTAATGTTGTCAACGTCATCGTTGTGCAAGACTGATTTAGTTCCCCCATTGCTTATCCACATTACCTGAAAAAATAATAAAAAATAATAGCAATAAAATATGGTGTAATATGAAATGGAAGGAAAGAGAAGGAGACAGAAGAAAATGATATTTGAAAAACATAAATGGAAAGAAAATTTTAAAAAATAAATAAATAATGCATCAAGTTACAAAATACAGTAAGTGAATTGTAAATTTGTCAAATCAAATGAATAATAATAATTATTATCGATGAGGATGATGATTACAATGATATATTATTATCACTATATAAGAATGGTATTAATTAATAATAAAATTTAAAAAATAAAAAAAAAATTAAAAAGTAGCAAAAATTATTTAAATGAAACTATTTTCATTGTTACTACTTATATAAACAAACAATTTGTTAGATTTGTCATTATACTTATGTCAGTCAACTTACTGTAGCTGCTAATTTTTTAAGAACATCTTTGCAAATAAGACTCTTAGGAATGGGAACATCTTTTCTAAAACCAAAATAAGCAAATTTTTAAATAAGTTTTATATCATAAAATACATTTACGAAAAACAAAATCTGTAAAAAATCCTTACCTACCAACCTTCACTTTAAAATTCTAACTTTTTGAGCAACTCAGCAATATTTTTTGCCTTAGAATTGTTAATATTAACTACATTAATACTTTACCTTAGGTATGATGGTACATCTGTGACTAAATATATATCTTCATTTTTGTATCTATTAAAAAATTCTTTTACAGACATTGTCGTTGATGGGTCTGTTCTGTTCTCTTTTTTGTTAAATTCAACATCGACATTGGTTGATGATGACTCAGGCAAGTTGGCTAGGTAGGCATCAGTCCAAAATTTGAAAGCATTGGCTGTTTTAGCAACTCCTTTAAAAATGACTGGTTTTGATGCATAAACATAATTTGCGAAGAATTCACTTGGTGACAAAAAATGATTAACTACATCTACTGGGTGCTTCTGTTTTTGACTACCAAGTGGCCTGAGGTGCCCTGGCTTGCTGTCTGCCGAGTCTAGTATTGAACCACTTGTTTGCTCATGGTCTTTACTGCTGACACATTTACAGGTAAATATGCAAATAAGAGCTATTCTGATGATACTTCTATGTAGCATATTAAAAAATGAATCTAAAAAAGAAAACATGACAACAAAATCAATACTTTCGTAGGTTTGCATCGTGCTGGACAAACTATAAAATAAGGCTTGCTTTTTGTTACAGTTATGTTGGCAAAGACAAGCCAAACTAGTCACTTGTCGCAAATCGTTTTTCAGAGAAAATGTCCAAAACATGCTGGAATGTCAAAATTTTTGAAATCTATTTTATTGCACTAAACTAAATTTTACATATCTATAGACTATACATCATGCTATGTTGTTATTTTCCCCATTTTCACACATCATGTTATGTTGTTATCTTGAGATTGTTAGGGGAGGGGGGGCGAGTCTGTAAGGGGAAAGTTTGCTAAACTAAGGGCCGAGTTTGTAAGGGGGCCTGATTGCAAGGGGAAAACTTGATAGGTGGGGGGGGGGGCGAATTGACTGGTTCCCGCCCGGGCCTACCCTAGCTAGAGGGACCTAACTTAACTAACTTACTAGCGCTGCGGGCCTCCCGCCTAGCCCATCATATTCTCATCAAATACACATGGGAAGAAGACTGTGTTCTGACTTAAGAAAACAAATAGGAAGAGCGGATTTCACCTAACAAAAACAACTAGGCCTACTCAGCACCACTTAGGGCCTACGTCCCTTAAATTTCATTTACATGCCTTCTTCTGCACATTAAAGGTTTACGCCTGTATTATGTTGTGCACTAGTCATGTCTGTTGCAGTACTGGTCATAATCATGCATAAAAACAAGTTTGACCCCTGGACCGGATATGACGCGCCGCGCCGGTAGAGATCGACATGTTCCCCGAACGATTCCGAACGTAGTATCGGCGATCAACAGGAGGCAGTAGTGTTTTGCTGCAGTGACATCTCGGTGCTGGCGACTCGCTGCTGGCGATGACTCGCTGCTGGCGAATCGATCTGCGCATGTGTATAAAATGGTATTTACTTCCGAAAACATGCCTGCTGCACGCGGTAGGTTCTGTCTCTTATACACATCTAGATGTGTATAAGAGACAGCTAAATTTAATATGACTAGGCCTATACTTTATCATTAGAGTATAATCAGATTTTTTACTGTATAAGTAAAAAGAAAAACTCCAACGAAAACAAATGCCTACTAGAGCTCTAATAGGCTAAGTTAAAAAATGTTTGCTTTGAATTATAATTGTATTTTTGGGGATTTTTCCCGAATAGTTTGGCTACATTTTTAAAAATGGGTCCAAATTTAATGCAGTTTCATGCATAAATGAGTCCTCATTTTGAAAAATGGGTCCAAATTTCTTATAATTTAGCCTAAAATGGGTAAAATTTTATGAAAATGGGTCCAAATTTCTTATAATTTAGCCTAAAATGGGTAAAATTTTATGAAAATGGGTCCAGATTTTTCATATTTTTCCGTAAATGGGTAAAATGGTTTACTTTTAATAAAATGGGTCTACATTATTTGAATTTACGCGAACAATGGGTCCACCCTGATATTGTACCTGTTAATAGCATTTGTGGTATGTCCTGAACAGATTCTATGTTTCGTTCTTTATTAGAACATCGAATTGATAATAAATAATATCAGTATTTTCAAATAATAAGGACTCTATAAGAGATTGTTTAGAAGCAATTTCGGCAGTCATATGATGTCATGAAGTCCAAGTTAAAACCTTCACAACTCTCAGTGTGTTC